ACTTTCCGGAAATTACATCACTGCTTCCGGACTGAAGGTCCAAAGACAGCGATGTAGTTTCCGGAGAGTTAGGTAATGTACCGAACGACCAAAAAGATTTCGGGTAATGAGCGGGTGTCCCAGAAATTATGATAATAGCTGTAAATTTCCAACCGGTTCCGACCTCTACCCGGAGTTGCACCTGGCAAAGAAGTAATTGATTAAATAATTTAGGCAAGTACTCTTTCAGGCACGATATACGGTATGTACTTTCCAATATCTTACGTAAAACTTACAACTTTATATATACCATAATTATAAAACATCCTATATACTAAAGCTTAATTGTAATTTTAGTAAATAAAATTACAATTGTTTAAATCTATATAATTACAGTATACGTATACTAAATTATATGTATAATATAGTTTAAAGTAAAAGAACACTCTAAGTTGTATACCATGCACAAATCTTAACAAATGCCGTGACACATGGCAAGTCAATTTTTTTTTGGTGTGCTAAACATCCATCCATGTTTATACATTGTAAATATTGTAAATTAAAGAAATTTCTGGTTTTTTTAAAAATATAACCACGATAAAGGCCATCGCAAAGCACGTGATTAATTGACTACAGTAAACGAATCAAATATTTCTCTAAACCTTAAATTTAAATATTTAAACTAATTTAACATTTTATAATTTTAAGTGAGCTTAACATGCTTAAGCATAAAGCATATCAGATGAGCATGATAACGATTTTTCGAGTTAATACAGTTGAAAAGTTTATATTTCATGTTTAAAGACTTGTCATTTTATAATAAACTTAATGATATACGTTTTCAACCTTTTATTCATGTTAAGGCGCGGATTACGTATTGCAATGATTTATTCATAAATGTAATTATTTTAACATAAAATTTGTAAATTGACTTAATAAACTTCTGTAACATTATTCATATGAAAAGTTAACTATGAAAAGTAAAAGTACAAGATTATATCATGATCACAAACTTTAAATTAATATAAAAAGATCGAAATTTGCCTTGATATTTTTTTCCAAATTAATATATTTTTCAGTTCTTTTTATCTATTTGCATATTATTCATCTGTTCAGATTTATTTTAATTTTATTTTATTATCTTTTTAAATTTTTTAATTTTTAATATTTAAATAAATCAGATGCCTAACGGTGGTGGTCATGACACGCGTTTGACTGGATTTGCTCAGCGTCCAGGAGAAGGTCGTTTGGGTAAATCAATACGTGTTCGCTCAAACTTCTTTGAAGTATTATCACTCCCTGAAAAAAATATTATTCACTATGATGTCACCATAACTCCTGACGTACCACCCGCTTTGAATCGAAGGATTTATGAAGTATTTGAAAAAGAAAATTTGGTCTCGGCTCTTCATAATATTCGCGTTGTTTTTGATGGCAAGTTTGAAATTCATTAATGATACGTGATTATATGCTGACGGAAACGCGTTTTATCTGACATGATTACACGATCGTATCTTCTTTTTACATTTTTATAAATGTAGGACGTAAAAACGTTTTCGCTCCTCAACTTTTACCATTTGGTGATGCGGCTACATTTGAAGTAAGTATTTCTTGATTTTTAATAATTGTAAACCTATGTTTTTTTCCTATTCTATTTGCCCATAATAGGTCACGCTACCAGAAGATGATCATACCACGTCCGCTAGACGAGCTCCTAGAGCTTTCAGAATTAAAATGAAAAGAGCTGGTGAAATCATTCTGAGCGAACTGCATCAATTCCTTGAAGGCCAAGGCGTACTCTCCCCGAACTGTTTGGCTGGTATAATATGGTCTCAAATTTATCCGTCTCTTAACTTGGTTTATTATAAACGACATGATGATATATGCATTGTTTTTTCACAGCAATCATGGCTCTTGACGTGCTTATTCGTCACCTTCCATCAATGAAAAATATTACCGTTGGCCGTTCGTTTTTTACAAGGCAAGGGACCACGGCTCTGACCGGAGGTGTCGAAGTTTGGCAGGGCTATTATCAATCAGCTCGTCCCACAAAAGGTATTTCTTAAATTTTTATGTTATTAAGTGAAATATATACATGACTTTAACAATTTTAAAATATAGGGAAAATGTTGATTAACGTTGATTTGAGTGCGACCGCCTTCTACGAAGCAGGTTCATTGGTAACCATGGTTGTAAAAATATTAGGACGCCGTTCCGTTGACGATCTCCACAGAGGAATAACAGATAAAGATCGCTTCAAATTAGAAAAAGCTTTAAAGAACTTAAAGATTAGAGTTACTCATCGAGGCGAAGAGACATCTAAACGTCGTTTTAAGATAAATAAGATCACACTCACCCCCGCAAATCAGACCAGATTCGATATGGGCGATGGCCAAACTGTGGATGTCGCAGCCTACTTTTTTAGAACTTACAACCATAAATTAACTTATCCGCATCTTCCGTGCATTGTTGTGAAAAAAGACGTTTTTCTCCCTTTGGAAGTTTGTGAAGTCATTGAGGGTCAACGTTATATCCGCAAGCTCAGTGAAAAACAAACCGCCGATATGATTAGATTTACTTGTCAGCCACCTCATATGCGTGCTAATAGAATTAAGCAAGGTATCGAAATTCTTAACTATCGCGGTAACGAATATCTCCAACAATTTGGTGTGACCGTTTCCAATGATATGATTATGGTAAATCTTTTTTTTTTCTTTCCAATCAATTCATAATTCTTACAGTTATAAGGTAACATACAATATCTGTTTTGTAGGCACCTGCACGTGTTATTCCTACTCCCACGCTTCAATACCATCCTTCTTCCCGTGAAGCGATAATCGTTCCACGTGAAGGTTCTTGGAATTTGAAAGATAAAAAAGTTGCCCAAGGAGCTACGCTTGGTTCATGGTCGGTAATCACCTTCGGAACTGATCATGAATTTCCTCTTCAATCTGTTCAAGCATTTTTACGTGAACTAATTCTCACATGTCAAGATAATGGAATGGTATGTATAATTTTATTAGATAAAATTATTAGTTAATAATTAACTTTTCTTTTTTCGTATATAATAATTAACTTTTATATATATATATATATATATAGAACATTCCAAATAAAACACCTCCAATTATGCATGCCAATCCGCAAGGTGACGTGGAATCCGCTCTTAAAACGGCATGGCTTCGCGCTGGTAACGCAGCTAAGGCACAACCACAACTTATTGTATGTATTCTTCCGAACACTGGAGTCCCTCTGTACGCGGAGATAAAGCGTGTTACCGATACCGTGATCGGAATCGCCAGCCAATGTATACAAAGTCGACACATGATGCAAGCTAAGAAGCAATATTGCGCGAATGTTTGCCTTAAAATTAATGTCAAGCTCGGCGGTATGAACGTTTTTATTAGCCCTACGCAAATCCCTTTTATTACCGATCGTCCGACAATTCTTATGGGCGCTGATATCTCTCATCCTTCACCTGGTAAATGCATATCTTTAAATTGATTTTTTTTTTTTTTTTGTCTTAGACTCGTTGATATTAATGAGTCTTCATTTATTTTTATTATTAATTAGGTGATCGTGCTCGTCCATCTGTTGCCGCCATTTGTGCATCTTTGGATGCTAAAGCATCTCGTTACTCTGCAGCAATTCGTGTTCAGATGGGACGCACTGAAATAATTGCCGATTTAGCAAATATGGTTAAAGACCTGTTAAGAAATTTTTATCAAACATGCGGTAGAAAACCAGAACGAATTCTCTTTTATCGAGATGGTGTCTCTGAAGGGCAGTTTGCTCAGGTTCTCGAAGGAGAAATAAACGCAGTCAGAGGTGAAACTTTTTATATATTTTCATTGTTTTTTTTTTTTTTTGTATATATACATTTACGTTCTTATTTGCATTCCTCATATAATAGCTGCATGCTCCTCACTTAATGAATCATATAAGCCGACCATTACTTTTGTTGTGGTTCAGAAGCGTCACCACACACGTCTCTTTCCTCTGGACAAAAAAGACGCAGATAGAACTGGCAATTGTCTTCCTGGCACAGTGGTTGAATCAGTGATCACACATCCATTCGAATTCGATTTTTGTAAGTATTTATCGTTTTAATGTGATAATTAATATTTGTTCATTGAAATATATTATTATTATTTAACAGATTTGCAAAGTCATGCGGGGTTGCAAGGAACATCACGTCCAACTCATTACCACGTTTTATATGATGAAAATAGATTCACCACTGACGGGTAGGTCACTTGGTCTAATTACTATTGATGAACATTGTTTTTAATCTTAACTTTGTTTGAACGCGTTTTTCCTTTTATTATTTAGCCTTCAGGCGTTATCTTATAACTTGTGTTATATCTACGCACGTTGCACTCGAGCTGTATCTTTAGTTCCGCCAGTCTATTACGCGCATATCGTTTGCAGGCGTGCAAGATTCCATTCCCGTGGTGAACAATGGAGCGATACTGAATCTATGGAAGAACTTCCGGGGCAAGTCTCTACTTTTGGTGTTGTAAAACCTGAATTGGTTAGAGTATGTATATTTTATTTTTATATTTTATTTTTCTCATTGAATGATAATATTCTAATCCTTTTTTTTGGTTTTATTCTTCAGACCATGTACTTTATGTAGAGCGTACATGTTTTAATTCACCTCTTTTAGATATCTTTAAATTTTGTTATGCTTTGTTTTGCATGTAGGATATAACTAATTTTTTTGCATAAGTGTAAAGTAATATAATGCCTCAATTATGTACTTTGTATTATGTAATTTTCGTATAAATCACAAAGATGTTGGTCTATGCTCTTGTATTTTAGATTAGTTTTTTTTTTTATTATCGCAAATGTTATTATTCTTTTAAGATTTTTCATAATATATATTTTATACTAGAATAGGAATGATAGTTGTAAGTCTATAAAAACAATATTATACAAACTAGAATGTCTAAAACAATACTTTTTCTTAACGTATTCAATAAAAAAAATAAGTCTGTGCTATATTAAGTCTTCTATAAACATTTTATTTTTACTAGCAAGTTTTTGGATTAAGTTAATTTAGTGCTGGAGTTAGTATTGGTTAGGATTAGGCATCGAGAAATTCATCTAAAACAGAGGTCAAATTGCCACCCTTGTTCTAAATCATTAAATAAAGTTTGCATTCATTATCCTTTCAGCACCTGTTTATCTGTCCTTTATCAACTCCATATTTGGATAAAGAATTAATACCGTGTAGACACTTGGATTTTATCTCGTGTTATGACATGCAAAATTAAAACTTAACGTTAATTAGCCAATGAAGACTTATAAACAATTACCGGTATATACCATAAATTGTATGACAGATAAGCGAATAGTTCAAATTTAATTATGGATCAAAATTTTGTTCAAGGATTCGAATAAATTGAGTTCACCTTTATATTAGAAATTTTAATGCTAAATATACAATAGTATGAAAAACACCTTTTTTTCATTAAAATTTAAAAAATCGCCGTACATTATTAAATAAAATAACATCGTTGCAAAAAATTTAAAGATTTCCAAGTTAAAGTGCAAAGTTACTTAAATTATTATTATTAATAAAATTAGGTTTAAAATCGAGATTGCTTTTAGATATTATTCAAAAAAAAAGAAACGAGAAGTCACCTTATAGTAGGGCGATAAACTAAAAAAACATTCATCTTAAATTTATTTTGCTTGTAAATTTTGAACTTTGAATTACTTGTAACATCTTCAATGATCGCAACCTAATGCCGTTTTGCTATTAAGAAAGAGCTATAATAGTACCAAAATTTCGCAAGTTGTTAGTGCGCAGATTTTTCGCGTTTCTTCTGCGTCACACCTGATATTGAAATCTGATTGGCTAGTGGAATTTTTTAGGTTGGACAGTTGTTGTTTGAATTAATCAAAATTTATGTTAATGTATGAAAATTTTAGACGATGTGAATATAGTGATTTAGCAATAGTTATTATTAAGAATTTTATTTCTGTATTTAGAAAGTTTTGTTGATTATTTTATAATCCGAGGTTCTATACTTCCACAGAGAAAAATACAACTCTTTTATAACCTTTACATCAGTATTAGGTGAAAAGTTTGATTAATTAACTGATTATTTTCACAGCCAAGACTTTTAAAGTTTAACGGGTTCTTCTTAAGGATCAGCGCTTTAAAAGAGTAATTCTATTTTATTTTACTTAATTAATTATTACCTTTTGACTTACAATCCTTTTCCTCTTCGCCTAACCTAATCTTTAGTTTTTCCCACTTACATTGTATGCTCTACAAGCTTTGCTTCACAAATGATCTTAAATCCTCAATTTCAAGTTGCACCTTACGTACTTTTACTCAACGAACCTACTCCGTCTCACGTCTGTTTTACAGCCACTAAACTATTCTATTAACGCTCGTCTAAGCTTCTTATGTCATGTTCAAATATTCGATGATGTTGGCTGTTTCAAAGCCGCAATCTCCGCTAATTTCGGGAAACATTAAACCAGGTGCGTTAGAATTACTTTTTTGATGCAGTTGTCTATATAAATATCAAGAATATAATTTATGCAGTATATAGATCAATACTAATTTCGGGGGACACCTTCAGATTTTTCCGATTTTTAATTCAATTTAGATAGTAAAATTGTCGTTTCGCTTTGTTTTGTTCGGGTTGATCCGGGTTATATAAGGCTTTAAACTCACTTTTAACGTGCCTGTATTTTTAGGTGCAAAAGAAATATCTGGTGTCCTAATTGATCGGTTATTTCCAACGCCAAATTAATGCATTAAAAAGAAAATTCGAAGAGCAAGAATTGGCTTTTCAACTAAATATGAACCGACAGAAATAAATGGTTTTTATATTATATAGTATGGATCCAAAATTTATTCTTCGATGGAATTTGCTAGTAATCGAGATACTGCTCAATCATTTCGATTAATCGATTAACTGCAGTGATGCACTAGTTTTGCCAAAAATTCATTGAGCGAAACGCGAATTTTAAATTTCAGCCAATCAGAGTAACTCTAAAAAAAAAGACGGTTGTTAAGTCTATTTTTTTTGTCCGATCTATTTTTTTAGTCAATCAAATCATTTTATCAACCATAGAGGAAGGCATCCCATAATACCGTAAACTATCGTATACAAGACCCCCAGATATCAGACACCCTATGTACTAGGGATGTTACGGTCCGGTCCGGTCTTGGTCCAAAAGACCGGTCCTAGCAGAGGACGGTGGTCTAGGACCGGTCCATAAACCGGTCTATCGGCCGGTCTTCAAAATAACTAAGTTATTTTGTTTTTTAATGATTGCTATACATAAAAAAGACAAAGCTTTACTACGTTAATCAATCAAGTTATTCGAAAAGTATATCTATATATATAAATTTAAAAGAAATATTGTATTCATAACACTCATGTTATATAACACCTTTTAATTAGAGTTAGGGTTCAAATAGAGTTTTTTTATTATACAATATATATTAAATATAAGGTTTCAATAGGTCCCGATTTCAGTTCCCATGAGGTTTTAAATGGCGCTGAACATTTTTACTTAGAGTACCTACACCCATTCACTTAGTACTTTTCTGGGATATAGCATAAGGTGTTATATAACACGGTGTTATAAATATAACTTTCCAATTTAAAAACTTAATATACAATATTATCGCATTTATGTTTGACAAATTAAGAATCGTCCAACTCTTCGGAAACTACTTCACTGTGTTTGAAACTTCGATACAGGGACAGAAAAGTGGTTTCCGAAAAGTTAGGTGATTCTTAAAACAAGATTGATGAGGTTTCGGAAGACGAACAAATTTTCAGGTGTTTTAAAATTTATATAACATATAAGGAAAGTTTTATTCATAACACCGTGTTATATAACACCTTTTGCAATATGTAAAAATGATAAGCATCCCTGAAAACCTTATGGGAACTGAAATCGGGACCTATTAGGACCTTATATCTAATATATATTGTATAATAAAAAATCCCTATTTACCTTAAAACCGGTCCCTAACCCTAAGTAAAACATATAGGGTGTTATATAACATGGATGTTATGAATATAATATTTCAACATATAAATTTGTCTTTTTTATTTTTATATCTAAAAATTATCTAATATTTCACTTTTCAGATTTTTGACTTATATAAATCCTGGGACAATCAAATCGATAAGTCAAAATCAATAAGTTACTGAATTAGGTTGATATTAAAAACTTATTTGATTCTTTTATCTGCAATTTTTTTTTTTTAAGCCAATGAGAGTATTTTATAAACCATGGACCGGTCTACTTAATTTAAAACTAAAAACTGCTTTGACTGGCCCAGACCAAGCATGGTGGACAAACCCAAATTTGGATGATCGACATTGTGGCTTAGCCAATTTAATAAAAAAATTTTTTGATTTTTTATACAGTTTAAAGTACTTCGTATTCTCATGATTTTTCAAAACCTATCAATTAAATTTATTCTAAAAAGGAAGCCAACAAAAGATCTTTATGTAACCCACCTTGTATTAAAATTAATCAAAAATAATCACAATATTCAAGAAGTTTTATTAGAGGCGAATTTTATAAG